CTCTGGGCGATGGCGTCTTGGCCATGGTGGATGTAGATGACATCATTCGTAATGCTCCCCGCGAGTAGTTCGATTGTAACATGCCTCTGCATTCTAAATAAAAATGTTCATAATATTTAATAGTTATTACTTTGAGTTCATCTCTGTTTGCTGTGACTTGAACGTTCCATTTGTCAACCTTAGAGTTCGCAGACCGTATGACATGTCCGTCGTTAGTAGGTGCTAACATCTCCCGATCATCACCACCGGTAGCCTTCACCGCCGCTTTCGTCAATTTCTAAGCCCGCGCGTGAGTCCTACGTGTCACTCTCGAGCGTATTTACAAAGTTTGATAGAAATTTGCATTCCCGCATGGGATATAGTTGCTTACAAAGGACACTCCCCACCATATCTTTCTTCTCCTCAGTGCTGTTGTTCCTCATCACCGCCGCCGCTCCCCAGTGCCGAACTGCGCGATCGCCCCTACTCAGCGGAGTGCAAGCCGTCAGTCACCACCGACAAGCTAGTGCTCCATGCTAGTACACCTCACTGGTAGGTAGACAGCATAGACCCACTAGTGACTAGGCTGGTACTCATCACCGCCATAGTCGCCGCCGAGCTCAATGCCGCAAGATCCAAAGGCAATGGTAATGCTTTCGCACTTCCTTTATGCATTGTTCTTGGATTTTGTTCTCTTCTTCACTCATCTGAGTACGAATGAAGCTTCCATATGATTATTAACGAGCTCACGAACACATCTCCATAGTCATTCCTTCTCTGATTCAGGCGACAGCGCCGTCGCTTCCATTGCCGTCCCCTCTCCACCAGATCATCGTCAAGATGGAGGAAGAGGCCCCCAACAAAAGGAATGAAGTGGCCATCTTCACAAACCATGTCTTGGTCCTCATCCTTAGCCGCCTCATCACCTGCTCCTTGTGCAGCTGCAAGTGTGTATGTCGTTCCTGTAATAGCCTTATCTCGGGATCCGAGTATCGTAAGGAGCTGCCCTAGATTCTCACCGGATTCTTCTACCGTAGATGGAAATGCAAATGCAACTTCACCAACATCAACGGTGAATACCCCTCCTTGTCTTTCTTGCCCTTCCCCATTTAGGATGTCGTGATCTCAAACTACTCCCGGGGCCTCATTCTCTTCTGTTAGTCTGGGTTTCGCTATGTTGTTTGCAATCGGTGATTAAGAAATGGTTGCTACTACCGGGTAGCAACCATTCTTGGGGTTCATCTCTCTTGGGGTTCGATCCGATAGTCTTCTCTCACTTCCATGTGTTTGAATATGGGATCAACGATGATGACTCCTTTAGGTGCCAATATCTACTCATCTAAAACTGGAGCATGGATCTTTAAAGAATCTGAATGGGTTGAGGGTATTATAGTTTCTACATATAGGAAAGGTGTGCTTGTTAATGGTTTTATGCACATACTGGAGTTCACCCAGATAGTTGTTGTTGATATGGAGGGAAAGACATGGAGAAAAATTTGTAGGCCAATTGGTGATGCAATCTCCATACATGAAAAGCTCAGGGTCAGTTGTGTTTATGTACTGCTGATACTTTGAATAGGTATGAGCTTTCAATCTGGATCCTTGAAGACTATGGTACTAGTAAATGGATATTGAACATAAAGTAACCACGCAGGAGCTATTTGGAAAGAATTATATTAAAATTGGTACCGAGGTTTGTGATGCGGCCTACAGAGTGATTGTAGTTCATCCAGAATGGAATTTGATTTTTCTTGTTAGGGAGGACAAATCGTTGCTTGCATATGACATGAACCATAGTAAAGTTCATGTCCTCCCTGCCCGAGACCATCGGCTATCCTAGAAGTACCTAATTATTATGTATGAGTGGCGGACCTCACTATCTTCTTATGTTTTCTTATTCATGGAGTCATTAGCAGAGTAGTAAAAGTGCATATGTTGTATTTTGTTGTAATTACGTCATGCCTTTGTTCAGGTAGGTAGTTGTTTTGATTATATATATAGACCAATTTAGGCTTCGTAACTAAAGAAATGGTGTGTTGAATATTATTAATTGTGATGCTTTGTGCAGGTGGAGTCTGAGTGCTTTTAAATAATTTTCATGCATTGGCCAAGAGGAAGAAGAGGGGTTCCATGGTGCATTGCCTACCAATTCAAAGGATGCACTAATTATATTTATTTTTGCCTAGCAAGCAGGAGTACCACATAAGAGGAGCACATCTACGTCATTTCATTATGTAAGTCTGTAGAGATCAGTATCTTTAGTTTGCAATCTATGTACCGCTTGTGTTAGGACATTAGTTGAGAAAGATATTATGTTAAGCGTCTATTGTTATTGTAAGAATATGGTTTATGAATGCAATGATTATATCTGTATGCTTTGTGTTTAGTAAGCTATTAAGAGACGTTTATTGTTTTGTTATCACCACCGCCGTTGGTGGTGTAAACGTCCAACATCGTCGCTATACGTATTATGCGGCAGGGATATAAGTGTATCACCGCCGAATCGTTTAGTAACCCGACACCGACTAAACAATCATCGAAGGCGGATCGTGGTGCAAGACGACGGTAACCATGACATTTGTACTAACGGATCATACGTTAAAGCGACGGTGGTGTTAACCTCTACAGAGGCATCTCGATCGTCGAACCGACAGTGAACCTGCACCGCTGACACTCGGGTTGAAGTACAAGACGACGGTGCTGGTAACCACTACACAGGCGGTTGATGTGCCCACACGACGGTTTTGATAGCCTCGACATAGTTGGATCATTTGCCAATATAGTAGTGTTAGTGTACATTCACAGCGGGTCATGCTCCAATGCGACTGAAGTAAGGACCTAATTATGGACAGGTCATAAGCCAATCGACGGTGTTATTGTACACCGTAGTCAGTCCCAGATGCTGATGATAAAAGCTATGACCATCACTGTTGATAGTTTATCGTTGAGGCCAAAATTGCACTGTCGATGTGGATTATGACGTCGCTAGGAAAGATACGAGTATATCAGTGGGTGCCGACTCAGCCTGGTCCGCAAGACGGCCGGCGGGCCACTCCAGCGCGGCGCGCAGGAGGTCGAGCGAGGACCTCTCCTCCTCTGCCACCGACAGCATCTGGGCACGCACTTCTCGCTGGACCGGCTGCTGAAGCCCACCGCACGCCGAACGACCGAGCGCAGCACGGAGCACTCACGGAGCCGTGGACTGCATCTTGTGTTGCACGCTCTTTCGTTCTCTCCTCTCTTTCTTGCTTGCGTGGTGCCAGTGTCTCCCTATGACGTTGGCTATTTCCGATTACATTTTTTGTCCAAAAATTTTTACGGATTGAAACCTGAATTATTTCTAGGAAGTGTGGTGGAGGAGCTGGGCGTGTACATGGTGGGCTTGATTGTGCCAGGTACGGGCAGAGCAGGATCAAGAGTGTGTCCTGCTAGCACAACACCTACTCTCTCTGCCCTGCCTACAGGATTTCCATCCCGAGGACTACTTGATTGCTAGTGCTTACCATGATCAAATCAGTCGCGGTAGGCGCGTAGAAAAAAAAAATGTAACCCCGGTGCAATGCACGATCATTTATCTATTATAAAATTACATTTCAAGGCTACTCATATCACTTTCATATTTTCAAACTGAACCTAAAAAAATTATTTGTAGTCAAAGTTTAAAATATTTAACTTAAGATAACCTCAAAACGGCTTTCTTTATAAACATGGAGAAAGTACTAATTTAGTCAATTTCCTTTAATTTCTGACGATGATTATACGGTACTACTCCATCCATTTTAAATTAAAAGACGGTTTAGTTTTCTAGATATATTGTTTTTATTAGTATTTAAATATAATGTATATCTAAAATAAGTATATAGAAAAAGTTGTGTATTAAAAAATTTAAAACGTCTTATAATATAGAACGAAGGGAGTAGATAGCCTCCACCGTGCTCGTGCAGGCGGAGTGGCGTACCTCCAAGTGTTCCGCCAGCCGATGCAAGCCGCCGCCGGCTGCCGTAGAGAATCGCGTGCACGTGCCGAGAACACAACAAAGTTTCTCCCGGGGACACGCCGGCGACGACCGTACGTGGAATCCAACCACGTACACGTAAGCACGTCTGCACCCTGAGCCCAGAGAGAGAGAGAAAGAAAGAAAAACTGGACGAGTACGTGTCTATATGGAAGCGTGCTGGACGTCCACGTTACCACGTAGTACGAGCACACGAGGAGTGCTTTCTCAGCGTCGGCGTCAGCACGTACGTACCTGCCGGGCGCGGGCGGCACTGTGCCGTGGCGTAGGCACCATGCCGATCTATAAAGGGTCGTGAGAACTGAGACCACGAGGAAGCGGCCACGCCCATCCATCTACACATCTGGTGGTGCGCGCCGATCGAGAGGCTTCGCGGCGGTCGGCCGGCTTCGCTCGGCGCCCGCCCGGTGATTGCCTGCCGATGCCGGCGAGGTTGGTGCGGCGCCGTGCTCGCTTGTGAGTGGGAAAGGCAATATCGTAAGAGGCGGATCCGGCCGGCTGCACGTGGACTGCACCCATACCCAGGTGAGCTCACGATAGAAAAAAAGAGGGTGGCCTATATGGATACGTCGTCGTCTTCGATGTGTGCCAAGATAAACTCTGCACGACTGTATGTAAACGTTGCTGCGATGAACCTAGCTGGCGACTCTATATAAAAATGGATGGATTCGATCCGTATCCCAGGGACACGTAACGCGTAGGTACATGGTCCCTGTGACCACCACATATAGTGCTGCTGTTCGCGTCAATCGAAAATGGCATGGTAACAGCCTGCCTATCAGCTGTGTGCCCCAACATACACGTAAACTTTTGCACAGAGGACGGATCGGAGTACAAGGAGAAAACTCGCACACAGGTTTCGCCATTTATAGACGACCGGCGCCTCCACTTCTTCCCACTTGCTCCAGGCATCATCGTACGTCAGCTAGTAGCGCCATTGCTCACTTCAACCCGCGCGCAGATCAGCGTAGCGAACGAACAGCCGTGAGAGGAGACAGTCGGACCGATGGGCAGCGTCGGCGGCGGTTGCGGCTCGCCGGAGGAGGAGGAGGAGCGCACCGCGGGGAGTCGTGGCGACCCTCCGCCGCCAGCGGTCTGCGTCACGGGGTCCACCGGCTACGTCGGCTCCTGGCTCGTCCGCACGCTGCTGCGGCGAGGCTACCTCGTCCACGCCACCGCCAGGGACACAGGTACGTACATGCGACGCGCGTGGGGTGCGTTGGGTCCGTCCATTGCTAGTGAGGTGCTGACTGCTGATGAGCTAGCTGACCATGGCCGAGGTGCCTGCCGGTGGTGTCGTTGGTGGTGGCATGCAGGTAAGGCCTGGCAAGTGCTCGGTGCCGTGGAAGAAGGGAGGGACCGGCTCAGGATGTTCCGGGCGGACATGGGCGAGGAAAGGAGCTTCGACGCCGCCGTCACGGGATGCGTGGCGCTCTTCCACGTCGCGGCCTCCATGGAGCTCCACGTATCACCCGCCCATCACGACAACCTTGGTGAGTTGTTGTGAACTTGTGATAGATAGATATACATGTAAAGTTGTCAACAGCTAGCTAGCTAGCTAGCTGTCACTCCGTTGTGCGTGATCCATGCTCCGAGTCATACACCGACACGGGTTACGGCTAATGAGATTCTACTCCCTCGATCCGGCCATAAAAAGTTGTGTTTAGACTTTAGAACAAGATTTGATGAATAAATAAATCTTAAAAACTGCAACCGTCAATAAATTTTTAAGTTGTGTAGTTTCAAAACATATAAGCTATGTTTGTATATTAATTTTTTAAAATACTTATCAACTCATAATTTTGAATGAAAGGTACTCAGTTCTAAATTGCAAGTCATTTTGACATTTTTTTGGTTTATAGCTTTCGTTATGCACCTAAATATATATTTTTTATATATTTATGTTTACATACTTAGTAAAAGCTACACATATAGAAAAAACAAAATGACTTATAATTTGAAGTAGAGGAAGTCTATATTATTGAAAAGGTTACTAGATGTAGTAGCTAGTCCACCAATCTATGCCTTTCATGTGCTAGTGGTTTTAATAAAAGATACAAAGTGTTAAAAGTGCAATCAATGAATTTTGCCTTATAATTTACAAGTAATCAAAATGGCTTATCAGTGTTATTTCTTGTTTATTCATATTTTGACACAATACTCCATACTTTTATAATATTTATTTATCCATTTTGTGATATAAACTTAAGTTATCAATCAGCATGCATGTGAAGCATAGTCCCTCCGTCCTCATCCTGTAATATAGTGAATTCTAGCATTTAAAATTTGTCCTCAAATATAATGTATTCTATAGGATAAAAATCAATTTTACATTAAATATTTTCATTTATCAACTAATCATTATTAATCACATTGATGATAACGTCTGATTAGGAAATAAAATGAGGGTACATGTATTTTTTATATTAAAATTCTATAATGCACTATATTAAGGGAGAGGGAGGTAGATGCAAAAAAAAAAAAGTGAACATGTATACAAGAATCGGTCGCATCTTGTGTGTTTCCTTCGTAATTTTCATCGAGTTGTGCTGGATGGATTCCAAAATTTGACCGTGGGACTCCCTATTTTTACCCTGAATACGCTATGGTAAAAAAGGCAGAGAATTTGGGCAATGGAAAGCCCTGGGTCAATTGGGCCAACATTAATAATTCCTATATGTGGATAGACAAAGCATTCCATCCTTTGATCAAGTATGCTATGAGTCTTGTGAGTCTTCTAGAAGTCATCGGTCACTTGCATGTGGGTCTCGATCATCGTCGAAATCTTGCGGAAAATGAGCAGGAGATAAAGTCAAGTGATCCTGCCACTCCTCGACCTGATCTCCTGATAGACTTGCCAAATACTTCCATGCTTCATGCCAATGTAAGCATGGCTCGAGGTACACTGAATTGCACATTCCCACAAAGCTATAGGACCCAAGATGAAACACCTTTAGATATCTTTGCACAATCCCACATCACAAAAAGATGTTATGATCGCATCTTGTTCAAACTACAATGGTCGAAAAAATGGTATAACACATATTGGCTCCAGGTCAAATGCACCAACCAAAAGTTTGAGATCCTTGACCATCCTGGTTTCATGGGAGTTATGGAAAGAACATAACGCGAGAATTTTCTAGGGGGGCGTTTAGTTCCCACCAAAATCTAAACTTTGGCACTATGCAAAAAGAAAATTCCCCGTCACATCAAACTTGCGATACATGCATGGAGTACTAAATGTTGATGAAATCAAAAACTAATTGTACAGTTTGGTCGTACTTTGCGAGACGAATATTTTGAGCCTAATTATTAGTCAACGATTGGACAATAATTCATAAATACAAACGAAACGCTACACTGTGCTACAGTGATTTTGGTTGTGCAAAATCGGGCAACTAAACAAGGGCCAAAAGAAAAATGCTTTGGCCACTGAGGTAGTCACAAAGATCAATGATGAAGTGACAATGCTAGATTTAAGTCAAAAACAAGAGTCTCTGGCACAAGACGACAAAGGGGCAATTCTCTGAGTTTGTCAAACCATGAGTCGACAAATAATCAGACATCCTTCCTCGCCGCACACTGAACACTAGGCATATGTTATACTCCCTCCATCCTAAATAAGACGTTTGACTTTTTTGGCATCAAGTTTGACCACTCGTCTTATTCAAAAAATTTGTGTAAATATAGTCAAATTTAAGTTATTCTTGAAGAACGTTTATTAATAAACCAAGCAATAACAAAAGAAGTGATATTTTGCACAAAATTTTGAATAAGACGAGTGGTCAAACTTAGTGTCAAAAAAGTCAAACGTCTTATAATTTGGGATGGATTGAGTACATTTTTGTTGTGGTCCCAACTCCCAAGTGCTTGGAAAAAGGTTGCTGATGTTAAGCCATGTCACTGTGTCCTTCCACAATCATCTAGTGAAACGACAATCCTAGAAAAATGGTCTAATGAAACGACAATCGTAGGAAAGATGGATGTCGGTTGGCGAAAGACGACAAGGGGGGCAATTCCCCGATTTTGTCCAACCATGAGTCAATAAATGATGAGAGCAGAAATTTGTTTTGGTGCAGTCTAGGTATTATGAATTTCTTGCTAAACGAGTTAAATTGTCCAACTGATTTAGCAAGAAAATCACAAAATTAATAGGTAAACATGTCACGGGCCAATTCGAATGGCAATTAAATAAAACAGGAAACGTACCACTTATAACGTTACTTTTTCTTACCGCACTGTTAGATCTCGGACGGACGCCCACGGCGGCAGTCCGTTTTCACGCATCCACGTGTTGGCCCACGCGGTCCGGACATCGCTTGCCTGCGCCTGCGTCTCGCGCACTCACGGGGGTCCGTGCCGCCGGAACATCACCCGCGCCGCGCGTCCAGGGACCGCTCACGCCCCCTCCCACTTCATCCCATATGAAACACTCAATCTACTTTTGAAATATTCAGATGCAACGTAACACTTGCAACATACAATAAAAGACAAATAAAACAACTTGAAACATGCGTCTGAAACACTTGCAAAAACACTTATGCAACATCCAGATACAACAATTGTAACACGTGTGAAACATATGCAACATCTAAATAAACACGCTTGCAACATACGTCTAAAAAACCGATGAAATATTACGGACAGATGCTTGCAACATATGCAACATTTCGATCTAGTTTTGCAACATCCGTATGAAACAATTACAACATACATCTAAAACATCGGAAACATTTGAAATGTGTGCATGCAACAAAATCGTATCCTAGTGCTGCATCCTCCGTCGTCTACATCGGAGTGCCGCAGCCATAGCAGGAAGCGAGGGCAAGGGGCTTCCGTGCTAGGGTCCGGTGCTTCTCCTTGCGCTAGTGGCGGCTGTCGGCGTCGTCGCCGGGGAGGGGGCAGCAGAAAGCAGAGCAACAGGATGGGTGTCGAAAGCAATGGCGGTGCAGCAGCGAGGGCGCGTGGAGCGAGGCGTGAGAAGAGCAGCGCGGAGCAAGAGCAGCGGGCGGAGGCAAGAGCAACGGAAGGACGCGAGGCGCGGAGCAGAGCGGGATGGGGCGGGGGGGGAGGGCGGGCAGAGCAGGAGCAACGGGATGGGTGTCAGAGCAACGGCGGGTGCAGCGAGGCGGGCGCACGGAGCAGGTGCAGGAGCAGCGACGATGGAGCAAGAGCAGGGGGGCGGGCGGCAAGAGCAACGGAAGGGACGCGAGGCGCGGAGCAGAGCGGGATGGGGCCGGGTGCGGCTCCGCGTCGCGATGGGGGCTCCTGCGGCGGTTGCATGCGTGCGGCATGATGGAGGAGCTCGCGGTGGTCACATACGTGCGGCGGTGGGGAAAGGAAATGTCGCTGGTCTTTTTTTCTTTTCGGAGAAACTGTGCTGACGGTGGAGTAGGTCTAAGCCGATCGCTGCACGGCCGATCGCTGCACATGCCCGGGAGCAGGGCGTTCGGACGGATGGGTTCAGACTCCTCGCGAGAGCTCGTTTTTCTTAACACTTGTCGGATTGAATTAACCTCCCGTGATGTTGCAGAGGAGCACGTGAGGTCAAGCGTGCTGGAGCCGGCGACGAGGGGAACCATCAACGTGCTGCGGTCCTGCGTCCGCGCGGGGACCGTGCGCCGGGTCGTCTTCACGTCCTCCGTCAGCACGTTGACGGCGGTCGACGACGAGGGGCGGCGGAAGGCCGTCCTCGACGAGTCCTGCCTCAGAGCCCTTGACGACGTCAAGTGCATCAAGCCCGTCGGCTGGGTGCGTGCACTTTTCTCGCTTAACGCAGTGATCTGCTTCGTCGAGTCGTCGACCTCTCAGCTCTGTCTGAACTGATGAACCCTATGCTTGCTTCTGACCTGTGGCAGATCTACATCCTGTCCAAGCGGCTGACTGAGGAGGCGGCGTTCAGGTTCGCGCGGGAGAACGGCGTCCACCTCGTGTCCCTCGTCCTGCCCACCGTCGCCGGGCCGTTCCTGACGCCAAGCGTCCCTACGAGCATCCAGCTCCTGCTGTCACCCATCACAGGTAAACCAACACAGGTCGTTCTTGACGCTCTGTCTGATCTTACCTGACGCCACGGCCACGCCGGCGCGACGCCGTCCGCAGGTGACCCGAAGCTCTACGCGGTGCTGGCCTCGGTGCACGCCAGGTTCGGGTGCGTCCCACTGGCGCACGTGCAGGACGCGTGCGACGCGCACGTCTTCCTCATGGAGGCGCCGTGCGCCGAGGGGCGGTACCTGTGCGCCGCGGGCGGGTACGCGGCGGCGCACCTCGCGCGGCTCCTCGCTTCGCGCTACCCTCCGTTCAGGCCCGGCGACAGGCACGAGTGGTTTCTTTTTTCTTCAATCAGGTGCGTTTTCTGATCGGCTGCTGTGTGCGTCGTCTCTGACCGTCGGCAATGGCGACTCTCGTGGCGCAGGCTGAGCAGAGACTTCGACGACGCCTCGTGCTCGCCGCCGGTGGTTTCGTCCAGGAGGCTGATGGATCTGGGGTTCAGGTTCCGGCATGGCGTCGAGGACGTGGTGAAGGACAGTGTCGCGCAGTGCCTTGCCCATGGATTCCTGGAGCATCCTGAGACCTGAATGGGACAGAGCTCCTAGTTGGTTTCAGCCTTCAGGCTTTCAGCAGTGATAGGATAGCACTGGAGGAGGCAGCCAGGCGCCCAGGCAGGGCCGCATGGATGGATGGGCTTGGGCTCAAGCATGGCATGCTACCTGGGCCTAACGGCTCTTGTGTGTTTTGTGTGTGTTGGCTCGCTATTGTCAAATTTAAGAAGACGAGTATGTTTGAAGTGTGGAAAATTTTCGCAGGAAACCGTTCAGAAAAAATACGGTGCGGACTTCCCACATTTTAAACCGTTACAAAAATATTTACTCCCTCCGTTCTAAATTATAAGTTGCTTTGACTTTTTTGGTTCATCAATTTTCCTATCTAGGTAGATACATTGTTATATCTATAGATACATAGTAAAATGGATATACTAAAAAAGTTAAAGCAACTTATAATTTGGAAACACAAGGGAGTACAAAATAAAGAAAAGATGTATTTTTTTGTGTCTGAAATTCATCAAATTGGTGGGAAACCATTCATTTGATGTTAGATTAGAGTTTTATATGACATTTTCAATGTATGGAAACTCTCACATTTTAAACTATTGAGGAAACATCTGAGAAATAAATAAAACATAATTTTTTTGTTTGTGTGTATCTTAAAGCACATGAATTTCACTTGAAACCATTCATTTAATATTAAGATTCTTTTGTGCTTTTTGATTTGTAGGAACTTCCCGTGCTTTTAAGCCGATAATGAAATTGCTAAAAAAAAGCAAAGAGAACATGTCTTTTTTGTTTGTATGTTATGGTTCTTTTGTCATTTTCGATTTGTAGGAGCTTCCCGCGCTTTTAAACCGATCTTGAAATTGATAAAAAGAGTAAAGAGAACTTGCCTTTTTTGTTTGTATGTTAGGGTTCTTTTGTGGGTTTCGATTTGTAGGGACTTCCCGCGCTTTTAAGCTGATATTGAAATTGCTAAAAAGAGTAAAGAGAGCATGTCCTTTTTTGTTTGTATGTTAGGGTTCTTTTCTGGTTTTTGATTTGTCGGAGCTTCCCGCGCTTTTATGTCGATATTGAAATTGCTAAAAAGAGCAAAGAGAACATGTCCTTTTTATTTGTATGTTAGGGTTCTTTTGTGGTTTTCAATTTGTAGGAACTTCCGCGCTTTTAAGCCGATATTGAAATTGCTAAAAAGGTCAAATAGAACATGTCTTTATTGTTTGTATGTTATTTTTTTTTTTGTGGTTTTCGATTTGTAGGAACTTCACGTCCTTTTAAACCGCTATTGAAATAGCTTACAAAGAACAAAGAGAACATGTCATTTGTTTGTGCAAACGACGGACAAACATGATCTCCAGCATCTAATGAACTAAACTGTAACTACTTTAATCGACAATCATATCAAAATAAAATATACTAGGATGGATCTAAATATTTTGCTATGTCTCTATGATATGATCGCTATACCAAGCCGCAAGATCTAAGCTTTACATATGACCACGAAGCACGGGAGAAGAGCGCTCGGGTTGAGCAGGTACAGCTCCTCGATGCTCGAATCGTCGCCGACCTGGCCGGCAACCGAGTCGAACCCCGGCTGCACGGCGACGTCCAGCCGCAGCTTCTCCAGCGGGCGGTGGATCCTCCCCGCGATCACCCTGCACACGAACAACGCGTGCTTCACGCCGCCGTCCGGCCCGTCCTCACCAGTGCCACCGCCGGCGGCGCTGGTCTCCTGCAGGCAATCCAGCGCGTGCTTGCTCGTGGACGTGGTGAACACGCCGACGCCGCCGTTCCTGGAGAAGCCGTGGCGGATGATGCGGCAGACGTTGCACAGGCTCGACGTGCACACGCTGTGCGAGCCGCCGGCGCCGAGGGAGCAGGAGACGGTGGTGCCGTGGAACTGGAGCAGCTCGTTGCCGTCGGCGACGCAGCGGGGGTGCTTGTTGTTGTTGGGCAGCCCCGCCGCCCTGCCCTTCACCTCCTCCATGTACTCCTTGAACCGGTCCACCCGCCGCTCCATGCTGTGGACCTTGACGACTCGCTCGACGCGGTCCAGCGCGGCCTCGGGATTCGGCCACCCGACACTGTATATGAGCTCCACCACCTTGCTCGCCGTCTCGCCGTCCGCCACCTCGGTGACTGCACGGAAGAACCGGATCGGAGCCATCAGACATGAAATGCAGCACAACGACTTCTAATTCCTGATCAGAGAAATATGCATGGATCGGAGCACGCGGTGCTGGCGCTTACCGGCGTGGTAGACGAGGTGATGCGATTCCAGAGCGTTGTCGTTGGGGAAGAGACCGCCGCAAGCGGTTGCACCGGACGGCGACCTCGTCGCAGGAGGCCCAGGCGGGAAGGGGCGACCCGGCGTCGCCATAGACGCCTGCGCCGAGGCGGAGCGGTGACTTCCTCTGGGAGAGACGGGCGCCGGTGGCGGAGCGCATCAGGAGCGGGCTGTGCGCGAACGGCGGCACCGCGCCGATGTCCCAGTCGGCGAGCCCCGGAGCGGCGCCGGCGGCGGCACCGACCTGGAGGTCGCGTGCGGACCCGGAGACCGGGGTCCCGCTAGCGAGCAGCACGTCGTGCGTCACCGCGTTGAGGACGCCGCAGCTCTCCACCGACATCGGGCTATCGCACTTGCCGCGCGCGGCCGCCGGTGGCGCCTGGAACCTGGCGCTGTGAATCACGTCCCGCAGGTTGGAGATGGAGCGCGAGCACCCCGACCTCGGCAGCGACGACGACGGCTGCAGCAGGAACGACGACTTCTTGTGGTTGAATTCCCTGGCACTGCCGCCGCGCGAGTCGTCGTCCCGCTTGATCACGTCGCAGGAGCCCTGGGACTTGCAGCTCAGGGACCTCTTGAGCGCCGTCCACCACAGAATGGCCATCTTCTTCGATCGATCTCCTCCGCCTTCAAGATCCGGGAACACCTTCACCTCGGTGGATGGCTGGATTGCTGCCGCTGCTGCTGCTGCTGAGAGGCATCGCTATTTATCGGTCAAAACACATAGGATGCATTCAATGCGAGATTGCAAATCGAATCTGAGCACAATAAATGGTCTCAATCTCAAATGAATTTGCCAAAGATTCACCAGCAAGATCATGAGATGAGATCAAAGAACCTGAGGAGGCCCAACCATGGAAGGTCGTTGCAGTCGCTGCACCACCACCGGCACATACAGCCAGCGGCAATGGTAACTTACTGACATGGGTAAACAAGTGAGGAGGGAGGAGCGTCGCCGCCACTGCAATTTTCCTTCCGTGACGGTCATGGAGCGAGCGTGCGCCGCTGCCACAGGGCCGCAGACCGCAGCCTGCGTGCTCTCCCCAGGGACCAGAAGGCACGGAAGCGGCCGCCCCTGCTCTGTGCTGCATACAATGCACAGAGGTTAGTCGTCTTTGAACAGATTTTTTTAAAAAAAAACCACACTGGTCAGTCCAGTAACGGTTGCTCTATCTCTATCTAAAAGTAAAAATAAAAACAGAGAGTGGACTGCGGCCTAGAATTCAGAAATGTGAGTTTTACTGTATCAGCAAGAAGATATCCTGCGCTGTTGCTTTGTCAGTCGACGATCTAAGCGTATCCTGAGGATACCGTTGAGGACAGGTATGAGTGACGTGATGCTTCCGCTGTGCTCCCAGTTGACTGGAAAAACGGCTGACGCTGATATTGATATTAATTTGTTATGAGAGAAAAACACTGTTATTTCACTGAAATGGTATGGCTGATAAGTTCAAGCGAACATGACCTAATTGTGTTTTTTTTTAATTAAAAACTATTGTGGCTCATGCTTCCTTGCTGGTGTGCTAGCAAGGTCATGTGACTATAAAGACAACGTGTAATTTTTTATTGTTATTTAGATAATATATGTAATTTTGTTATTGTTTGACTTTAAAGAAAATCCAAATTATCTTTTGTGAGCTGTCCTTTTTAATTATACTAGCTGGTTGTCTAACATTGTTGCCTGGAAATTTAGATACCTGAAATATGGCAACTCTCATTGTTCTAGCTAATGCACTTCTTAAGGCAAATTCAAGGTGAAAAGGTGCAGTGATAACCAATAGCGTGTTAAGTTTGCAATGAACACAACCCATACCAAAATTGGTAACCCTAACAAAAGTTGGTTCCTATCATCTGTTCAGTAATGTCACAATGAAAGTTGGTTCATATGTTGTTCATTTTCAGCATACGACATAACAAAAGGCGGTTTCTATTTTTTGTCTACTTCTAATGTATATTTTGCGACAAAAGTTCGCTTTGGTTGTCGGCTTCAATATATGTCATAACAATAGTAACATCATAACAGAAGTTGGTTCATTTGTTGTTCATTTTCAACATACGTCGTAATGGATTGTTTCTATTTTTGTCTTCTTCTGATATATATATTTCACGACAAAAGTTCGCTTTGGTTGTCGGTTTCAATATATGTCGTGACAAAGCACTTTTCTATGTTGTTTCTTTTCAACATTTGTAACGGAAGTCGGTTCCTATTATTATTTTCTGATATTTTTCATAGTGAAAACGGGTTCCTATTTTACATATTTATGTTATAATATCTATCATAACGGGATTTGATGTAAGTTCTAATAGTTGCTTATTTTCGATGTATAATGGAAGCTGGTTCCTATTTTTGTCAACTAGTCACTTTGAATATCCGCTTCCTTTATTTTTCTCCTGTGTTCTCTCTTCTCTGGTAAGCCTTGGGTTGCTTTTTTGTATTTGTGTTTGCTACCCTCTTAATGAAAACATGTTTACGCATGGCTACGAAAAAAGAATATATGACACAAGCTATGTTAGACGAATCTAATGGCGCAAGCAAACAACTAGAGTATTATTAGACTCCTCATGTGTCCTAGGGTTTTGTAGCTTTCTCACCATGTGCCACTCTGTTTCTATACAAGTTGATGTCGAGGGACTAGTATCCATTGCTTAATGATGTGCTAGCACCCGGGAACACCTTTATTACCAATAATCAACATAGAAGCAGTCACATTACCTTTTGCATCCAACAGGATTGTTTTTTTTTTTGACAAAAGCCCTTTGAATGATATAATAGGAATGCCAGCATAACTTGTACATTGAAGTCCTTGATGAACAACTACTATCATCGAGGTCATGAGGCGATAAGGTATTCCTGAAATTTGAATCTTTCATGCCAAACACTCAAGATGTTGCAATAGCAAAATAATTGCAAACAAATAAGAAATATAACTGAGTATTTCCTAGATGACAAAGAAAGTCCAGTTAAATTATGTGCCCAAACCTGCCCATGGGCAAAGGTTCGACCTATTTTTGGGCTAGGGCAACCACTCATTTTTGTATTAAAAATTAATCAGGATAATAGTTTTAGGACCGACTGATTTCTTTTGTTGTTTAAGGGTTTGTTTGGTTGCACTCTAATCTATATGTATTAGGGTGGATTAGAGTAAAACCAATGCTTGGCTGCACTTTAATCTACTCCAATCCACATGTATTAGATTGAATAAGAATGAAAATAATTAGTTTTTCACCTAATCTACCATAATACATATAGATTAAGGTTGATTAGAATGTTGCCAATCGAAAACGATGAGTTCCTTTTCCATTCAACAAAGAAAGAATCATCTTAAAAATTCTTTTGAGTCCTAACCCCTTTGTAGGTAATTAGTAAGTGAACCTGCCCAAAGAGAGCCCCCTTAGAGTCAAGACCTAAGGGGATTGTTTAAGACCGCTCCATAAATACTGCTCCACAAATTTCACCGTGGAGCAACTCCACAAAAACTAAAAACATTCCTTTTAGGTACTCTTACAACTTCACCTTTTTCTAGAGCAGAGTTTATAAAGCTGCACATGTTTGACTTAAAAATAGCTCTGTTACAGGACCCGAGAGTGAAATTTCAATCATCCATCGTTGGACAAACAAATGGAGCAAAGGACAAGGACTCATGTCATGTGCCCGTGATCCGTGAACACTATATACTGGGCCGGGATTTCACACCAAAAAAACATGCCGGGTTGTAGGTCCTTTTCTAGCAGGGAAGCACGTAGTAGAAACCAAACCGAGCCCACGAAACAGGACTTGTGATAACGATCTAGGCCCAAGAAAGCCCGGTTCAGACTGGATAAAAGGAGTCGAGACGCAGACACCTGTTCGGTTTAGGCGGTCCCCACGACACGTCATCGCCGTGGCCCAGCGCTCGTTTCCAGAAGCAGCCGCGAGCTTCCACCGTCTTCCTCCCGTGCTTTTTCTCGAGCGATCCGTTTTTTCCGACCACCACAGCGAGAGAGGAGGAGAGAGAGCGCGCAACTGAGCAAGAGAGTGGACGGCGACGGCGACGATGAGGGGGTGGCGAGAGGGGGTGGAGGTGGTGGCTCTGTCGCTGCGGGGCTACGGCTACGGCAACGAGGACGAGGAGGACGACCGGCCGGAGAAGCCGCGGCGGTACGGGGTGACGGAGATGCGGAGCCCCTTCTACTCCTTCCGCCCCGCAAACCAGGCGCTCCAGGTTCGCCTCCGGCTCACAGCTGCCAGTCTGCCACCCCTGTTTTGGGCGCTGCGTGTGCTCTGCTCTGATTCGTTTGGTGTTGTGTTGTTCCGAGCTGGATGCCTGGATTGGGCGTATTCTAGTGGGGACTTGGAGTGCGATTCAGTTTCCGTGGAATGCGAATACGGCGTGTTTGTTTCGGTGAAAGACGCGTGTGATGGTTAATTAGTCTCTATAATAGATTCATACTAGTGCTTGGATTGAAACCATATGAGTAGTTTCAGAATGTGATCGTCGTGGGCGTTGCCAAATTTTCGAACCGAAATAGCCGATTCATGCTAATTGTACTGGTATTTTTATGTTTATCCAGCATCTAGGCTGTTATGTGATCGAGGCACAATGAAGTGTAGATTACTTTTTGGATTTTGATTTTAGCAAGGAATAGCTAGTCCCCAGCTGTTTTTAAAGACCCCCCGGGGGGATTGGACATAGACAGTAATAGTACAGTTCACCATAGGAACGAATGTCAATAGCTATTTACTGGTTTTTGCAGGCACTGGGTGGTTATGCTTAAATGACTGCTGTATATTTTCCTCTCTTTTTTGTTTTTTCACCATCCTAACCATTACTGACACTCAAGCCAAACATTTTCTTTTTATTATTTCAGGAAATATTGGATTCTGTTAGTCCATTTGTTGATGGTTTGAAGTTTTCTGGAGGATGCCATAGTTTGATGGGAAAGGAGTTGGTTAGAGAGATCACTGATCTAGCACACAAGCATGACATTTATGTGAGCACAGGTGATTGGGCAGAGCATTTGCTGCGTCAAGGACCCTCTTCTTTCAAGCAATATGTAGAGGTATGCGCGTCTGTTATGGTTATGTAATTTTGTGATAGTTTGAAAACAACGTGTGAAATCACTTCCGAGTAGCACATGACATGAGTATTCCACTTCAGGAATGCAAGGCCTTAGGGTTTGACACAATTGAGCTGAATGCTGGATCTCTCAACCTCCCTGAAGAAGCTCTGTTGAGGCTAGTCCACCTCATCAAGAGTAGTGGTTTGAGGGCAAAACCAATGTTTTCAGTGAAGTTTGACAGTTCTGATATTCCAGCATCTCGTGATAGGGCCTTTGGGGCGTACATAGCTCCGGTCAAGGAGAAGACCTCAGGTAAACCAAACAGGGGTGTCTTTTCAACATTTATTATACACACTGTGATTGGTATGACCCTAGTTACCTCCTATCATACTGAGTACTGAATAATGTTTGCACAAAGCAACAGCTCTTATACTGAACAATGGTCAGTTAGACGGTTCGTTTAACTAACTGCTTGAATGTGTTGCGTTTTTTCATTCAACATTCATAATTTAGCCGTTTTTGCCACCATTGTCTTTTGTTATCACAGTTCACAGCCTTGCACACTATGCTACGCCATTTTTTCTAAGCTATAGTATGGCAAAATCAAATTCCTTTTTTTTACTCAGAACATGTGTGTTTGGTGTCCACTCTTGCAGAAAGAGTTGAAGATGTTGACCTGCTGATTAGGAGGGCAGAGAGATGCTTGGAAGCAGGCGCAGATATGATCATGATCGACGCCGATGGTGTTTGCCAGCGTGCTGAATCTCTGAGGACAGACATCGTCGCCAAGATTGTAGGCCGGCTCGGGCTTGATAAAACCATGTTTGAAGCTTCCAACCCCAACACCTCAGAGTGGTTTGTCAGACGATATGGCCCAAGGGTACTGACTCCTCTCCCCCCTGAATAAACTCAAGCTGAGCAATGCTGATACCATTGTTTCTCGTGGTTCATTTGATCCCAAAGTTTTGACATGTGTCGGGCTTATGTAGGTAAATCTCTTTGTCGACCACTCTGACGTGATGAATCTGGAGCGCCTCCGGGGCTTCAACATGCACCGAAGCAACTTGGCCTCTCGTTATGCCTCGCCGTTCTTCCTGATGTAATGGGCTAATGAGCATTCCCGTATCCTGAGCTGCGACAGTTACGTTTCTACTTGGAGTTGTAAGCCTCGCACAGCATGTTATGCCCTCGATGTAACCACCAGCGAGCAGCGGCATAGCATCTGCTATGTTATCAGCAACGCTACTGTAATAATCAGTTCTGTGGCGTAAGTAGTGTATGGGTGTTTGTGTTTCATCGCATCGATGAGCCAGATCCTTGGATTCATGTTTGTGCGGTTGCATGCGTGTGAATATCGGCATTTTCTGTTTTTCAGAGCATGAGAGCACGTCTCCGCATGAAATTCGGGAATTTTCTGGTTTCAAAAGCAGGACAGAGGTGTACAATGGTGAAAATAGTTTTCCAGCTTGGACTTCACGTTTAACATCATCTTGCAGATCATTGGATCAAACCAACATGGACCATGAGCTGGCAATTTGTTATTGGTGTCTTCGGCAACAATGACCTCAAACCAAACAAAGTTGTTACTTGAAATCGCATCAAAACTAGAATGATAACTACTAGAATCGTGAAATCTTATTATATGAATCATATAACTACTTAACAAAGTTGTAGAATCAACTAGTTAACTCATCAATTAGTTAACAGAGTTGTAGAATCAATCTGATAACCTAAGTGGTGATATACTCAAGTCATATGACACATTGACTAAAGCTGGCAAGAACCATATTTCTATGGACTTTCTTTCCACTATGGATACAAATTTTCCATGGTAAAAGAACAAGAAAAATATAAAAATCAACAATGCAGTATTGTATTGATTCAGTAAATAAGTTTAGCAGTAATACAGTCATTTTCAGCCACAGAACTTAACCAAACTATCGGAGTATATCAGCCGTAAAATAACATATATGAAAATTACAGCAATTCAATATGCTCATTTTCTTGAGCACCAGTAATTTCAGGCAAGGGGAAGCACAGTCACTCCAAGATTTGATTTCAATTTTGAAGACCGTGTGCCCACAACTTGAGTCTTCGATGCATTTGCTGAACCAGCCCTAGGTTTCTCACCCCTGGAGGCACATCCTAGTGCTGCAGAAACATAGACATTTAAAAAAAAACAGAGAGAATCAACTAATTGAGAAATTAAGGTTTGCTTGAACATTTGTTACTCAGCAGTTAACTAAACAACCCAAGATAACTCACTACACGCAGATACTTAAAAGCAAAACTACAAACATACGACAGATTCAGGCCTCCATATAAACTAGAAATAACTCTGTTTTCATTCCTGTTTCTATGCTGCTATTAAGTGGCATTGTCAGGCATTTGAAATCATCAGCTATGCATAAGCATGACGAGATTAATTCTCTGCAGCGTAGAAGCTAGTGTAGGTTATTAATTCTTTTGGTTTCCATGACATCCTGCTCATCAATCCCTTCCTAACTGATGAGCCTAGATTTAGATAAGTTATCAGGAACCCCGTCTTTACAATTTCAACAATGGTTCATAAAGAATAGGTAGGAGCACATATACAAAAGTGTATGGAACACTTGTGTACCAAGTGTATGGAACATAATACATGTTTTAAATGTACGGAAAAACATAAGCAAGCAAAGTTGTACTGCTGTACCTGGACCCTGGAGGTTGGAGTGCAGAAGCTTATGTAAGGAACAACATCCTTGTCGCCGCGGCAGTAGTTGGCTACCTTCCCGACCTTACTAGAATTTATCTCTATGCTTCAGCTGTAGCATCTGTTCGCATACAGACACACACCTACACCACACACATGAACACCTCATTCACACCATTTGTACACAACCAGATCTACAACTATACACATATATGAAGACGCGTACTTGAGAGATTACCAGAAACATGAAGGCTCTATAGGCGACGGGTACATCGCAGTCCCCTTGTGACACCATGCCTTGAGAGGCTTCATTGAAATGTTATTATGGGAATAAATCCTAGTGAGAACTGCTGCCTCGCCGCGCTGCCGACCCGCCTCGCACCGCGACGTTGCCGCTGCCGTCGCATCGTCATTGAGTCCGCGCCTGTCCGTTGTACCCTCTGCGCCGCTGCCGGCCCAGTTCGAGGCCGCCACTACCACGCGCATGTGGTCGGGCTCGCTGTCGCGTTGTCATTTAAGACACTGCGGTAGCGTGGGCTATGCCGGTCGTGGACGCGCGCGCTTGTCCGTAGCGTCTGCGCGCATGCCTCCACGTTCACGCCGACCGCATCCCGCCAAGGCGAGGACGAGTCGAGCCCACCTGCCGTGCCTCGTCTTTCTCTCTTTCTCCCTCTGCCGTCACCACGAGCCGCGCCATCCAATTTACCCAGCGAACGATCACCTCCATTTAATTCATCGTATCCACGGCTTCACCATCAGGTCCTCTCGCTGCCCGACCTTACCCAGCCTTGAACCGTGCCTGGCCAAGCCCTAATTTGGAGTTTCTTCTGTCGCCGTGCCGATAAGGCCATGTCCGGCCATGGATGTGGGCAGCCCTTCTACCGCGTCTCCCGAGTCAATTCATTTGCACCACTAGCTTCACCTTGCCTCCCTCTCCAACTTGTGCGCCTTAGCCGAACCGCTACCGCCTCCCCGTCGTCACTAACGCGACCGTGCCGCCGCGGTGCGCCGCCACACGGCTCGGCCGCACGTGGCCCGCCCTCCTCCGCCTCCTCCACCCCAACCGTCACCTCGGCTATGTCCATGGTAGTTTACTAATGCTCCCTCGCTAGCCAGTAAGGTTCTTAGGTGCTCTAGATCACCTGGGCAGCTGCGCCGTAGCAGACGGTCGCGCATCGCTGTAGCTCGCTCCAACGCGTCATGCCACCCCTCGCCGCCGTTTAGTGTAGCCGCTCGGGTCAGAGATGGTGATCGACGCGTTAGGTGGGCCCGCGCAGGTACCAGGTGGACGGCATAGGCGCTCAGTGCCGCCGCTCGCTGCGCCGCCGTGCACTGAGTTGCCGGGGGTATGCGCGGGTGAATTAGGAAAAAATCAAGGGGTTACGTGAGAAGGTTTGAGAGGGGAAAATAATGTTAATACTTAGTTGTAATTAGGGAGAAGTGCGATGCCTATTTTGCAAAAATGTCAGCGCGCGCGGGATTTCCCCGCCGCGGGCTGTCTCCGCATGGGCCGGCGTCGCGTGGGGCTCGCGTGTGCTCTACGCGAGAGAATTCATTTTTCTTTTTTCATAAGGAATTAGAAATAGTTTTCTAATTTAATTTTTAAACTAATCTTTGGTAAATCATATAAAATCATGTAGGTGTCCATAAATTATGAAACAAATTTTGTTAGGTTTCTAAAATTGTGCTATATCTGTTAGTGTATTTAGTTCATATATATAAATGTTGATACCAAGAGCTATTAAATCATTTGAGAGTGCTTAATATTATTAGGTTAAATATTGTAGGAATTTTTGGGTAGATTGGTGATAGCTTTAGTCCTAAAAATTTTATAGTAGCTTCATGGTATTATTACGTGCTCACTATAATTTTTATAGCTTTAGAATAGACTAAACATTAGGGTATTTAAATGCTCTTTGTTTTAAATATACATTAAATCATTAGTAGAAATAAAGATATATGCTTTATTTATAAAGCTATGTGTTTGTTAGTTGAACCCAACACTTTACTTGATGAAGATGATAGTTAGCTTAGTATCTTAGTCATTAGAGCTAGCTTATTAACTTAGTATGCGTATTCTTATTTTAAGAGTTGCTGTTGCATAAATGCCAAGTGTTGCATCATCATCGCATGTATGTAGAGAACGAGTTGACAGAGATGGTGACCACCGGCGATCATGAGTTCGAGGAGATCGTCGAGAAGTACGAGGAGGAGATTCTCGTGCATGAGGAGGTCCCGGAGCCACTACTGACTGACTCAGCTGACACCGCGTCTGGCCAAGGCAAGCCCCGGTGCATAACTCTTATTTTTGATAATCACTTAATATATATATATGTGATGTGTATTTACGTTATAAGAATTTTATGAAAACCACATGTATAGATATAACTGTCCTATGAGTCCTACTAGTATAGGTTCGAGTAGCTGCTATGCTTAGGCTTTCGGTAGCGTGAGTAACCTGTCATTACTCATAATAGGTGATTATAATTACTCTCATGATAAAATAATGAAAGGAAAAAGAGACATGGCAGGGATATGGTATGGGTATTAGTGGGTGTAACAGGTTGTGTCCCACGACCATCGGGGCTTAGCTTGGTTACACTGTTTTTTTCCCTGTTTGTGTCGATTAAGAACCATCCGTTGCTGTAGATGATAGTCAGGTCACAGACTTATTATCCTGGGCACATACTTGCTTATGGGAGCGGGAAGGCTCGTTATGCACTTGTCGTGGGTTCCGGCTCTTTTCGGACCGACTGATTGGAGGCGGGGACAGGTGGAGGTCTAAACACCATACTGAGGCTGGGTCTAAAGTATGGGGGCTTGGAGTCCAAGTTTGAACGAAGACCTAGACCCCGTGATAGGAATGGAATGGGTTGGTCTTGTTTGTGCCTGTGGTACAAACGGGGCTTGTGTTTCGAGGTACCCAGCTGGGATACATTGGTTTGCGAATCGTCATTTCCGTGAGACGGTACGACTTGGCTTTGGTCTAGCACCGTAGTAAGAACTAGAAGATGAAAGATAATAAAATGGTTCTGATGGCTCAACCCTTAATTGAAAGTAGAACATGTGCTTACCTAGAATGGTTAGCTAATAAAATAATCATGACTGCTAATAAAACTTGACCGTAAGGATGAACTATTAGTGATGCTTTTCGCAAACAAAAAAACAGCAAACCCATATTGCCTATCATATTTTTTGGAGTCGGAAAAATATTCCCACTAGTCGGGTAAGTCTTGCGAGTACATTGTGTACTCAGGGTTTATTTTACTCCTGTTGCAGGTGCAGCTTGAGGAGTAGCTCTTGTGTGGAGGATTCTTCTGGTGGGCACAGACGGATCCTTGTATCGTTTCCGTTAGATGTTTATTTCCATTCCGTTGTTTAATTACTGCACTCTAAACTTTGGTATTGTAA